ACATACATACATACACACACACACACGCACGCACGTGCACACATACACACACATACGTAGACACACACATACATACATACACACACACACACGCACGCACGTGCACACATACACACACATACGTAGACACACACATACATACATACACACACACACACGCACGCACGTGCACACATACATACACACATACACACACATGCACACACACGCAGACACACACACATACACACTCACGCAAACACACACACACATACATACACACACACAAACACACACACACAACATTCTGGTCACACAAATGTTTATTTAATCAGTTTTCCGTTTATTCTCTTTTCTTTGTTTCTTTTCAGCTTTCACCCTCTCTCTCTCTCTCTCTCTCTCTCTCTCTCTTCTTCTTCTTCTTCTTCAGATCTCCCCACCCTCTCCTCCACTTTTGTTCTCACGGTCTCCCTACAAGCATACCCAAAGAGAGGCCACCCAAGTTATACAACCCCTATCTATGACAGATTTATGAAAAGAGTTGTCGAGCTTACACGTATTTCCAGACTTATCGGAGGAGAACATTATGTTGCTATCGTGATCTTTATGTTTGTCACGTTTTTTGTAAACGTCTGGTTTACACGCTCTTTAAAGGCTGCATTGAAGAAGAAAACAATTCAAACCAAACCAAACAAAACCAAACAAAGCCAAACCAAAGCAGAACAAAAATAACCCCCACCCCACCCCACCTAAAATCAAATAATAAAAAGACCCCCCCTCAACAATACCCCCCCCCAAAAACAAACAAACCCACAACAACAACACCCCAACAACAACAACCAAACAAACAACAAACCAACAACAACAACAACAAACAAACGAACCCCATCACCTCCCACTCCGAACAAAACAAAACAAGAAACAAATACAACCCACATCATGTTAAAAACGACATAGCATCCACTCCCTGGCTGTACTATTATTTTTAAAAGGGTTTTTTTTCGTGTCCCTGTAGGAGGATTGTATCTACACGACTGTGAGCTGGAACCTATGGTGCCCATCTACCTGCTGGTCGAGGGAAGCGCCGGGTTCTTCCTCAGCTGTAACTCTTGTGGAAGCAACGACGAGTCCGGCCAGCTCAAGATGGGCTTTTGCGTCATTTTCAGGCTCCTTCAGGCCGCCTTCCAGATAGCCTGGCTTATTGCTGGTGAGGACGACATTATTACGTTGGTAGATGGAGGGAGAGAGAGGAGGAGTAGACTAGGAGTGAGGAGGAGGAGGAGGAGGCGGAGGAGGAGGAGTGAGGAGGA